CCCAGGTTGTTGAAAATGGTCGCTTCCTTTTCCCTTTTGGCCACTTATTAATTTATTTTAACATTTGAAGGTGTCCATGAACACATTCTCTGTGTTTCTTTCTTAAAAAAAAAAGAAAGAAATATAGAATTAGAGGGAATGAGAAGGTCCGTCTTCGCGCTGCCCTCACTTGCCCCCAGCTGTCACTGTCAACAATTCGATGTGTGTCCTTCCAGAATGTAGGATTGATTTCAGTTGCTGATTGAAGCAAGTATTTTGATAAGCAGAGGCTTAAAGTTTTCGTAGCCTAAGGCGATGCTGGTGCCACGTTCAGATGTAAAGGCTGGATCCGGGGCTGGAGGTTCAGAGGAGGCATCACGTTGACAACACTGTACTTTGTCCCCAGGGAAGAGCCAGGAGCCTTCAAACGCCTCTGACAGAACCCTGTGCACCCGGTCAATGCTCACAGCAGACAAGTAGATGAGGGTGTGACTCTATGCTGTTTTTTTACAGATGCCACAGCTCTGAAAGGAGTGGGGAAAATGTCTGATGTTTTGAGGATTCTAGTGTGCAAGGTTTTTTGCTTTTGGTTTTTTTGGTCAATTTAAGTTTTATTCTGGTAGAATAGGATCCCCCTCTTTCCTTAAATCAGCTCTAATAGTGACCAAAGGAAAATAAAAGTCATTATTTGTAGAAGATTTTGAGAATAATGCTGAAGATTTTGAGAATAATGCTTCTCCACTTTTTTTGTGTGTGTGTGTGATTAGAAGCAGGTAACCTGAGGAAGAGCTCAGGTACCACACAGGTCTTGAGGGGAGTCAAGTGTTCCCAAAATGCAGCTTCTCCAGGGACTCTTCCTCACTCCCACACCCCTGTTCCATCGAGACCCTCTTAGCTGCAGGCTGGGATCAGGGACGGCTGTGCTGACAGGGTCTTGAGGAAGAGGCAGGGTCTCTAGACAACCAGAACCTGGGGAAGCCAATCGACCAGGGAGTCGCAGAACCCCCTGCTGGAGATGGATGCAGTGAGCAGCGGGACACCGGGGAGAAGCTGTCGGAGCTGTGCTCGGGGTGTAGGATGGGAGGGGACAGAGATTCCGAAGATTGCTCTTCAGGAGACCTCTGGATCTGAAACTCGAGTTCCTGGGCCCCTTTTGTCTTTGAGCAGACGGGATCTCTCTTCTAGGGGTGGGATCGGGCTTCCCGAGTTCCTTGGCTTAGAACCTGTCTCTGCAGTAGGATGTTATCCCGTTGACGAGTGCAAGCTGGGAGGTAGCTGCATGGGGAAGGAATGGAGCAGTAGGAGAGGCTTCCGTCCACTGGGCAGCAGCTGGGAGGTGGGGGAGGGCCTGGGGTGGGGCCTTTTCCTTCTCTCCTCAGGTTTGTCCTGCACGTAAGGTCCAGTGGAGGTCCCTGACGTCTCCTACACAGGCCAAAAGCCCACCCTAAGTGGTTCGTTTGAATTACCTGGCCTGTTTTTCTAGAGGGGCGATATGAATTAGTCAAATCAGATGGCTTTCATACTGAGCTGTAGTGAGAAATAGTTGGGAGTTTGGGAACTCGGGGTGCTCTGGGGGAGGTGGCAGGAGGAACCTGCAGATAATGGAACGGTTTGGGTGCTGTTTGGAGGCTCAGACTGCCCTGATAAGAAGGTTCCAGAAACCATTTGTCTTGAGATAGCCCCAGTGGCATAGCGTGACCTCAACTGATGGGGCAGAAAGGAACAAGGGGTCAGCCGGACACCCTTGGGCTAATAACTGGCCGCACCTGGTCACACCAAGGTCAGGATGTGAGAACGGCCGCCATGCAGAGGGGTGAAGGTGAGCTGGACTGGAGGGTGCACCTGGAGGCAGCTTTGTGCTGCTCCCCTATTTCTGGCTCTGGCCACAACACAGAAGCTGTTTGGGAATCCAGATCCCACTATCCAGGGGCCCTACTAAGTGAAATTTGTCTCTGTGATTGATGGCTTTTATACCCTGTCTCGAGTCTTCCCTGGGCAGGTGAATCCGTGACTTCTCCTGGTGTTAGCTGTTGTTCCTTAGCCCATAATTTCTCGCCAAAGCCTGGACTTATTACTCATCATTACACCCTCCGTGCCAGTCGTGGTAAATGTAATTTAAGCTGCAAGGTAGGCTGGCGGTGTTTTCGTTGATCAGATTTTATTAATCTTGTCTTTAATTTTATGCCTTCCATTCCATCCCTCCTCAATCCATCTTGGCGAGGCCGTTGTAGTTGCTACTGCCGGGAGCCGGGGCTGGCACGAGCTGGAGCTGGGACTTATGTGGGGTGTGACCTTACAGTGGCTCTGACACATACCCATCTAAAGGGACGGGGGTGCCACTGCATATGCGATGACTTCAAGCCTAATTTGAATATCCCCAAAGCAAAAGGATGGCAAGAAGGAAAATCGCTTCCTAAAATCCATATCCTTCGAAAGCTCACACTTTCAGATGCTCCATTTCCATTTCGACATCAGCGACTATCAAAGAGCTGCTCAAACTCATGAAAACTTCCCTCACTTAAAGTTTCCCAGCCCCTTGCACACAGATTTCCTTCCCGCCGGGGTCCGGCAGCGCCTCTGCTCAGAACCTGTCTGTCTCTCTCCTGCCTGGTGCCTTCAGAGGAGCTGCAACTTGAGCTTTTCCTTTTGACTTTGTTTTTCTTTCTTCAGTTCCCTTTTAGAGAAGCTGACAGGCTCCTTTCCTCTCGGGGTGGTTGGGGAAAGGCGAGAGCTTGGCGGTTTGGGCCCCCAAGCTTGTCTACAGAATAGCAAACACAAAGGTATTATTAGAAGGGTGTGATGAAATTTAAAAGCCTCTCATTCTTCCCCTGAAGCAATGTCTCCCTTGCCAGTTTTCTTTTTTCGCTTTTCTTAGTGCCTGGAAAGATATCAGGACCGGGTTTGACCATAAAGAAAGCACAGACCTTTATTCCTGATGCACGTTGTTATACATACATCATTTAAACTTATGCCTTTCCTCCTTTGCCCCAAACTCTGATAACCAAAATAAGCTCAGCACTTGAGCTGTGGCTCGGGGTGCTGCAAATACGTTCATATCACTTTTATTTTTCTATTTAATCACTCAGACGCCGCAGCTATTTTTTATTACCAAGAGGTCTAGCACCTTCCTCTTGAGCAGGCCCCTTTCTGTTTTCATCTAAGAATTACGGAGTTATATTCCCAAACTCACTGTGCTTTCAATGCCAAGCAAAGAGGGAGCCTGAGGCTGCCGACCAGCTCACCTGCCTGAAGCTTTCGCTGCTGCCAGAAGGTGTCGCTGTTGAGAACAGCCAGGAGGATGCTGGGTGGGTCAGTGGCTGTGCCCTTCTTGGCTATTCTGCACTTGAATGGCTATTCGGCAACAGAGGTGCTGCATCCTTGGGCACCAGAGTAACAGCTCTTAGTTTATACTCGATAAGTAGCTGCCGTTTCCCAAAGCACGACATTTTGTCCAGGGGGCTGAGTGCTAAGGGGTTCCAGCCAGAAACTGCCCTTCAACTTGAACGCATAGTATCCTAGACTGTCCCTTTCCTCCCTCCCTCCCTCCCTCCCTCCCTCCCTTGTCCCTTTCCTCCCTCCCTCCCTCCCTCCTTTTTAAATTTTTATTGTGGTAAGAACACTTAACATGAGATCTACCCTCTTAGCAGCTTTTAAAGTTTACAATATAGTATTGTTATCCACAAGCACAACATTGTACTGTAGATCTCTAAAACTTATTCACCTTGCATAACTGACATTTTATACTCATTGATCAGCAACTCCCTGCTCTCCCTCTGCCCCGCCCCAGCCCCTGGCAACCACAATTCTGTTCCTTGCTTCCATGAGTTTGACGATTTTAGGTACTTCATATTAAGTGGACTCATCTAGTATGTGTCCTTCTGTGACTGGCTTATTTCACTTAGCATGAAGTCTCCAGGGTCATCCCTGTCGTTGCGTATGGCAGGATTTCCTTCCCTTTTAAGGCTGAAATCGTCCTTGGTCACAGATAGCTCAGTCCTTCAAGAAAGATTCTGATAATGCTGAACCTAAAAGGGGAGGAATCAGGGCTTCTGTGCTCTCTGTCCCTGAGGCTTTCTCGACCCTGCTGGAGATAAACTCACTCATCCTGGAACCCATCCTCTGTCCCCATAGTTTCCAGGAGTGGTGGCTTTGATCAAGTCATCAAGTAGTTGGTCTTGCCTTTCCCCAGGGATTGAGGGTCCTTTAATTATATCCAAGACATCTGGTTTTCTGTTTTTGTTTTGCTTAAAAGCACAGCAAAGAAGGTCTCCCTTGATGCAGCTCCAGGAGAGCAGCATATGTAATTTTCAAAATTCTACCCTAGCCAGCACCACGTTTTCCACTCCAGGGCTGACCCTGTTATACTTAGAGCAAATGTGTCGCTGTTAATTTGTTAACTGGGACAACTGGGGAAACGTGTTACAAAACCATGCAGCACATTACTGCTTCA